GGGCAAGACATAGGAGTCCTCCTCTCCAAAGACAAGCTTCTATTCCCTCTTTGTAATTAATCCTGGGGAGTCCGGGCAGAAAGAGACAAGGAAGACACAGTTGCATCCTTTGTGGACTTCCCAGTCCTGGCTTCTTCTCTGAGTACTTTAACACCCAGCTGAGCACAGGCACCTGGGGACTGACCTGGCGTCTGGCCATGCAACTGTCTCTATTGGGAAGGGCTCTCACCTCTCAGACATCCTCTTCCTTGCCCCAACTTATATTTGTCTTCCAGGCCTCTACTAAGTACTTTATCCTCTCCTAATTCTTGATCCCTCCAGGCTGGATTGGGTCCTTCTGGCTGTTCTCAAAGCTCTTTGTGCTTCACCCAAATTGGAGGATAATCTCGCTCTAATTATTTCTTTACATCCCTGTCTCCTCCATTAACTGGTCAGCTTCTTGAAGACAGGTGCCAAGCTGTGTCTTCCTAGCCTCAGTGCTCTGCATATACATGGAATAGAATAATATAATTTATAACAATTCATAATAATTCATAATATAATTCATAACAATTCATAATTGTTATGAATAAATTAGCTTATCTTCCCATAAAGCAGGAAACTGATATTACACACAAATTAAGGGTATAGCCTCTGGCCACTTGCTGACTGTGTGACTGCAAATCACTTAAACACTCTGAACACGATTTTATGCTCTGTAAAATAAGAATGGTAGAATACCTGCTTATAGGGACCTTGGAGAGTTTAGATTTTCCACATTAAAGATATTTAGCCCTAAATTACCACAGGCAATCTGAGCCCAAAAAATGTTGGTAAGAGTTATTAATAACTATGGAGTTATTGTTATTATTACCATCTGCCCCTGGTTTTGGTCCTGGGAATCCGTGATTTCTACCCTGTCAGGTAAGAACCTGAGGCAAAGAGCCAGCTGCCTCTTCGCTCTGCCAACATGCCAAGAGTCACACCCAAGAGCCTTAGGCTTTCAGGCTATCTGATTACACTTGTATCTTGGATGTTCCCCTGTGATTTTCCTCACACGTGCCTCAGGACTGATAGCGTTAGCTAGAAATAGTAGCCTTTGCCTTCTGGCTGATTACTATCTTCCACACACAGGAGTTTCTGCAAAGAGGTATGTCAAGCCCCTCATGTCCCACCATGAGCTTTTGTTGGCTCCCTTCACTACATATTGTTCTCTGTGGTTTTTATCTTAGCCTGGTATGCAATGGGGGAAGAAAAGTTCTGTGGTGCCAAGAATAAAGATTCCAAGAGGTAGCTGGAGCACAGGGGCTTTCAAAAGTGTAAAACAATGCGGTGATTCTTCTCAGGGCCTGTACGTTATGGCTTAATTCTCTTCCTGAAAAACAAGTACAAGGGGATCTCTCCAGGAAGCACTGTGAGGCCTTACCAATCCCCAGGGAAAGCTGATCCTGAGGCAAAGGTGCAGCTTTCCATAGAAAAGAACACTGTTTGGTCTTGGCAATCAAACATTGGTTGATGATGGTGAGGCTAGAGCCCAGGAGAGGTCTTCTCTCATTGTCTGTAGAGCAACCCTTAACTCCCTTGCCCCACCTTTCTGCCAAGAACATGATGCCTAAATGTATTGCCCTTCAAGAGATTTGTCAGTTTGGACACAAGATCACAAATTATAGTGCACATATTTTAAAATATTGGTCCATTTTTCTATGACCCAATTAACATTATATCTCATCTCATTTAATTCTAAAACACTATGAGATAGTTATCATTATTCCCCTTTTACAGATGAGAAAAATGAGGTTTAGCAAAGGTAAATGATTTACCAAAACACATACTCATTAAGTGGTAGCGAGGAAAAGAGATCCATTAGTAATAGTCTCTAACTTTAAGCTTTTGAAAAGTAAGAAAGACACTTCCAATATCTTATTTTCTATAACAAAGTATGTGGCTAGGTATGCAAATAAGCAAAGACAAGGGACAAATGAAATCTTATTTAACAAATTTTTTAATAAAATAATATTTTTCTTATAAAATATATATATTTGTATTATAAATATTTTTTATAAAATAAAATATATAATTTTATTTTATAAAATATATAATTTTTCTTATAAAATATATATGGCTATTCTTAAAAAATTTTTTAGGAAAAAATATTTTTCTTAAAAAATATATATATGGCTATTTATAAGAAAAAATATATATCTCAACTATATATGACAACTAAACAGATATATAGTTACAATAATTTGTGTATGTATGTGTATAGGACATGTTCTTGGGGAAATGTGAAATTAAGGTAATGTTTATGATATTTGCAAGAAAAATTGTATTCACGAGAAGGGTAGCATCCACACATATACTGCACAATGTAACTAGTAGTTTGGGGTAGAGAAGTCTGTTCACCAGGTAGGAAAAAAGGCAAGACATGGAATTCTGACTTGAATCCTGTCCTGGTTCTGCCATCAATGAGGGGAAAGTTACTAAGCTTCCTGCCTTTGGGTGTCTTTATTTACAAAATAAACAGTTAAGCTAGGGCTCCCAAATAGTGGCCTGTGATGAAATTTTCATTAGTTGATGGTGAAAGAGAAAAATAAAAACAATAGACTTACTTGTATAAATTCATTTATTTTATAAATATGTTAAAATGCCTTGTTGTGATGAACAATGGGGATTTTGTTTCCTCTTTGAACATCCTCAAACAATTCAACTATGTCCTCTGTAATGGAACCCTGATAGTGAAAGTATATCTGTCTTTTTACCAGTTCATAAATCAAAAGGTCTGGCAACCACTCAATTAACCCTTAATGTCCTGTCCAGCTTCAAAATTCTAGCCTCTTCTTAAATCACAGATGATATAAAACTAACTCTAAAGTGGCAAGGAAAAAGAAGAGAAATGCTTTTTATTCCCCTCCCACCCCCGTTCTTGTTTAGCTCATCATTTCCCCAAATGTGTTCTGTGAAAGATGAACAAAATATTATAGCTATTATATATTATATTATAATCATATTATTATAATTATTATATTATAGCTATTTCACTAGGAAATGGATTGAGTTTGAGAAACAATGGGTTAAAAATATTGGGCAGGTTTTTTTACTGAGTGATTCTCAGACCTTGTGAAATTCTCACATCTGTTGGGACTCCCCAAAAGACAACAAAGCACGAACACTCCTTAATTTATTGGTGGAGAGCAGATGCCTGCCCAACTTCTTTTGACGACAGTACACCTATTCTTGGAACATAGTTTGAGAAAGGTGACTTCAGCTAAAAGAAAGTTCCTTAGTAGTTTCCATAATAGAGAAAAAACATAGCACCAGAGACAAGAAAATTGTCAATTATTTTATAATATAATTATTTTAATTTGACAGGGCTTTTTAACAATTACCAAAGCCATGGCTATTTCTTAAAATTACAAAGGAAACCTGGATGAGAATTCTTCAAATTAAAGTGCAACGAACCAGAAAAAGTTTTGTGGCCATTCTGGGCAACTTTCTATTCTTTTTTTAACCACAACAAATAAAGGAAAACTGTGTCAAGAGATTTGTATCCACTGATTGCAACATGATAATTAAAACATTTGGAATTTGCAGAAGTCTGCAGTAACAAAAGTATGGCTCTAATCCCTACACAGTGAACATTAGGTAAAATAAAACCATCTGTAGGTATTGAGCCTGAGAAAACCCAACTTCTCTCCAATGATGTGTCCTTGTTAAATATTTCAGGAGGAGGAACAATTAATTCTAAATGCTTGTGCCTCCTAATTGATTTACTTAAACACTTTCACTATGATCAAGAAACAAAATTGTTAATAGAAGGAAAAGATCTAATAGTATATGTTTTTACTATTTATTTATTTATTTCTACATAATTATCCGATCAGCATTAAGAAGGTTTACTCAGCCCTTTTTATTGCTTTTTACATCACCAAGCGAAATAGCAACTAGCTAAGGCCTCCAGCCCTCACATCCTGGATTCAAGTTTCACTTGCCACATTAAGGAGAGAAGAGTTTTCACTTGAGACAGGATGATTTTGGAACAAACTATCCAAAGGGAGGACCCAAGAAGGATCTTTTGGATAATCTGACACTAACAACCTTCCTTTCTGATTCTGTGCACACCAGGTTTTTGACAAGCCTGTGGCTCTGCATTATCTCTGATATTTTCCATCATAACTGTGTATTAAGTTCAGCCTGTTTTTCATAACCCTGCTGACTACAACAGTCTGCAGCCATAAAAAGCCTTCCCTGACCTACAGTTGGCTTAGAAAATGCCTCTGCAGATGAACAAAAGAGTACATGCAATGTTTATGTTCAGAGACAGGAGAGAGGCAAGCTCTTGTGGCAGTGCTGATAGGCGCAAAAGACTTTTAGGGTCTAAATTTAGAAAGGTTAATTTTCTTTTGATGGCATTTGTAAACAAAATACCAACACTAAAATGAGAGCAATTTAGCCAGGAAAAGGGGGAGCGTCCCATCCAGCAGATCAAACCCTCTTCTAAACTCCCCCGGAGAGAAATGTCTACACATTAGCGCGTGATCGTACTTTGCTGTGCCCTGCTCGAGTCCCTCAACCCCCAAGTTAGCAAGTACGCGTGAGGTTTACACCATCCAAAGTTTCAGAATCCGCTTCCTTTATACCTAAAGCCAGTACTGGTTTAATCTCTGGGAAGGGGAATAAAAACACCAAACAACACTTTTTAATAGACTACCATACCCATCTACCAAGACTCAATATACAAATACTGTAGTTTGAATCTACAGCATTCAAGCTACTGTGAACCTGTTAAACCTAAGAAGTTGGTCTTCATCTTTGCATTAAAGAGATTCAACTGAAAAGTAAATAACAGAGGGGGTAAATAAAAGGTAAAAGTTAAAGCAACTGCTTCACACATCTGAACTTTGACTCAGAAGAACTGTATTCCCCCCCCAACCTGGTAAAGCAGATCACACCTAATTTCAACATTTAAAAACTAGTATCTCTCAAAAATTATTTTTAAAACACAAAACAGCAGAGCTACTTGCCTTTTGGCAATTTCTGTGCATTTCCCAGGGCTAGTGCAATACTTCCACAGAAAAGCAGACACCCCAAGCTGGACAGCATGTTGCATTTGCCACCTCACACGGGGAGTGATGCTGGTGGGCGTCCCGCAACCCTGGAGCTGCATTTAAGTGGACTGTCTCCCAGTGACAGAGGCGGGCGGCTGCACTTAGCTCTGCTGTGGGCTTACTCACAGGGGGTGGAGACAAAATGACATCACACCCTTTCCCACACACACCAAAAAAAAAAAAAAAAAGGCACAACAGCAAAAACATACCATCACATTTCTCTCTGCTAGGTTGTAACTGTCTGTTCTCTCTGTGATATAAACATTGAAATTTTGGTCAATCTATATATGTGAAAGAAAAAGTACTTAGGCAGTTCTTAACCATTTGATGAACTACTTTTAAAAATCTAGAAAGGCATACCCCAAACCACTGGAACAGAATAAAACCTTATTAAGAAGGAAACTGTTTTTAATTATCTAGTAAAACAATCCAATTCTTCTTTTAAATGGGAGTAAACTTGTAAAAGTACACTTTGAACCATTCCGAAGTTCCAATATCACGAGAAATTTTTAAGAGTAAGTCATTGGTTAGATAGCAATTCGTTATACATAACACAGGTATGTATATAAGTGTATATACACACACAGATACATACGTCCATCTATTCTAGAGATCTGGATGTAGAAATGGAGAAATTGCTATTGCTAATCGATCCCTAGCTCTGGCCAGCCTCTGGAATAGTATTCTTATCTATATGATTGCATTGTAATCTTCACAGTGGCTATACAGGAGACACAGTGTTATTCCCACTTTACCAGTTAGAAAAACTGAGGTTCAGAGAGGTTAAGTCTCCTGACCACACTGGGGAATTCTAATGGCTAATCATTTTGGTGGGCTCTGAGGCAGAACTGACTGCAGTTTAAATCTGGACGCTCTGTGCCTTTGAGCAAATTTCTCTATCCATATCTCATCAATATTGTGTAAATTCAAGGGCTTGCTCCTTGTGAGGCACTGGTCTGATCAATTCACACATATTAACCCATTTCTTCCCCCAAAAGAACCTAACAGGCAAGCATTGTCATCATCCGCATTTTCCAGACAGAAAAATGGGGCACAGAGAGGTTAAGTGAAAGGCGTGAGGTCATAGTGCATGTCAGCAACTGAGCTGGCGTTTTAATCTGGCAATTTAACTCCAGAGCCTCCACTCTTAACTGCTAAACTTTCCATTCTAAACCAGAGATGATAGTACCAATTTCATAAATTTGCTAGCAGGAAGAACTTTTGGACAGTACTTACCATAGCACCTGGCATACAAAAAGCATATTATAAAGGACAGCCACTGAAAACTACAATAATGACAGTAACAAAGCCCCAATTAAGGAGAACTATGATTCTAACTGGACTTGTTGGTCTCTAAGTCCTCACAGTTCCTCTCTCCCTCACCCGCAATCTAGACACATCACGGGAACAAATGGGTTAATAGTGTACTCAAAATGCCATCCAAACATTTATATTGACTCTGAAAATAGCTCGTTTCATGGGTTTGCTGTAGTTGAACCCAAACACTAAGTGGGAAGTGGAATAATGCTGGTCAAATAAAATTCTACTCAAAAAAGTTACCGAAAGAAAAATTGAAGAGACGCCTCATCTTCCAAAAAAAGCGTGAGAAGGCACATTGTTAAAGTCATTTGGAGCCAGCCAGGTCTAAGCTCTCACCATAGGAATGCTCTGGCACCAGCTACGGAAGGGATTGGGTTATTTAACAGGTCTTTTTCATCTCTAATTTTTCACTTGGATAGGCAGCTCTCGCAAACCCAAGTTTGGACATTCATCCAGCTGGCACGGCGGCCTTGGCTTCTATATGCCAGTGCCATCAACTTAAGCCAGTGAGGCCACTGTGCTAGCAGGAAACGACAGGTTTTCTGAGGGGGGGAAAAAAAAAACCCAGCAGAAATTCTGAAAAGAGGGCTGGTTCCTCCAACAGTGAGGGGCCGGTCCCAGAGTTAGGTAATGGAATTCAAGAGTCAGCCTCTACTTGGCCCTCAGGCTAAGTCCGATCATTAGCAACCAGTACTTGCAGTTTGGAACTGACTGGGGGGCTAATTAAATAGAGGGCAATCTCCAACTGTTTTGTCTGAAAAATTACCTTAGCTAGTAAGGCAAGGAGCATTCAATGCAGATGTTAAGGCATTAGAGGTCTCCTCAGACCAAGGAGGAGGAACATCCTCAAGAAACAGACCATGTCAAAGGAGGTTATCCACCTTTGCAGAGAACAGGAAATTTGTGGTCGTGTCAGAGTCCCCACGTAAAGAGGAGGTACAAATGTTCCAAAAGCACTCTTAAGAATGCTGACATTAAGCCCTGGTTCAAATGTCTCTGCAGGCACTTGTGTCTGTATTTATCCATAAATATAAAACTGTGATGCTCCATAGGGTGCCTAGGTGACTCAGTCGGTTAAGCGTCTGCCTTTGGCTCAGGTCAGGATCCCAGGGTCCTGGAATCGAGCCTCGCATAGGGCTCCAGCCCCACATAGGGCTCCCTGCTCCACGGGGAGCCTGCTTCTCCCTCTGCCCCCTGTTTGTGTTTGCTCTCTCTCTCTCTTTCTCAAACAAATAAAATCTTGGGGGGAAAAAGTGTGGAACACCTCAGTGGCTCAGTCAGTTAAGTATCTGTCTTTGGCTTGGGTCAGGATCCCAGGGTCCTGGGATCAAGTCCCAAGGTTGGGGTCCCTGCTCACTGAGAAGCCTGCTTCTCCCTCTTCTGTCCGGCACTCCCCCTGAATGTGCTCTCTCTCTCTGACAAGTAAATTTAAAAAAAGCAAATCAAAGCAAAACAAAAAACCGTGAAGTTCCATGACAATATTGAATTGTCACCAATATTCATAGACTATACAACACTGAGTAAACACTGATGTCAAATAGGATTTCTGGATGATAATGATGTATCAGTGTGAGTTCATCAGTCGTGACAAATGTAACCAATTTGTAACAAACTCTGGTGTGGGATGTTCGTAATGAGGAGGGCAAAGGGTATATGGTGTATCTCTGCATGTACGGAGGTAGGTATGTGAGAAATCTCTCCACATTCCACTCAATTTTGCTGTGATCCTAAACTGCTCTACAAAAATAAAATCTGGGACGCCTAGGTGGCTCAGTGGGTTAAGCCTCTGCCTTCGGCTCAGGTCGTGATCCCAGGGTCCTGGGATCGAGCCCCATGTTGGGCTCTCTGCTCGGCAGGGAGCCTGCTTCCCCACCCACCTCTCTGCCTGCCTCTCTGCCTACTTGTGATCTCTGTCTGTCAAATAAATAAATAAAATCTTAAAAATAAATAAATAAATAAATAATAAAATCTATTCCCAAAAACAAATATCTCTGTTGGGAGGACATTCAGAAATAACTGCTGGAAAAACACATAAAATATATTTGTATTTTCTCTGTGTTCTGTGAAGGGATGATCCATGCTTGTTTGTTTATCACGGTAGCCGGTGCCTAGATAATAAGGATGCAGTATGATGAGTAAGTGTCAAATGAAACAATCCATCAAATCCTCCAAATAGTCCAAAGGGATCAAGCTAGGGAAAGCCAGACTATGCCCTGGAATGCACAGTTGTTGGAGGACAATTCTCCAAGGGACCCTCATGTTTCTGTGTATATTATAAGCAAAAGTATTGATTTCCTGTGCTCCAGACTATCTTTTCAAAGATGTTTATATAGGAAACAGCCTTGGAAGATAGAAGTTTGTTAACTGTCCCTCAGAATAAAAGGTAACGTTTCCTTCTGGGGCAAAGGGAACACATGCTCATATCCTACTATTAAAGAGTCAAGTTCCCTAAGTTCAGGGTTTCTGCCCTCTGTGTAGGAATCACCCATACCTCTTTGCATTGCCCTGAGGGAATCTAAGCTCCTAGAATGGGACCAAATGCTGATATTCTGGCTAATGCTGTTGTCGTGAACGAATAAACTGTCCTTTGTCTTTGACCCTAGAGTCTTGTGTCTCCTGCCAGCATTAAGTGAACTGTGCATTCTAGCGTGAACATAGGGTAAAATCCCAACCCTTCACATTTCTTGACAATAAGATTGGTGCACTCCAAAATATCTTTTAAGATAGACTTCGGTATAATGCCATCATCAACATTCAAGTCCACCATAAGAATCAACAATGAATCTTTCTGCTGTGCATAGTAAAAGTATTGTTAGACATTGCTTAATAAATCATAGAGTAGCCTCTATTAAAACTCTGGGGGAAAAAAGTCTGTTCTCTATGTTAAAAAAAAAAAAAAAAGACTAATATTTTTCCTGAGCAACTGTATTTACTTTGTGACATTGTAACCAGGTTTTCTTTCTGTGTTGGCTGATCGTAAACCAGAGCCAAACGTGTCCCCCACCCATACTAAGTGTATAGGTTCTTGTGGTGTGCATGTTTTGGCATCATTCCTGTCTTTGTGTTTCATCCCACCCTTATTTATTGCTTATTTTACTTGGAGTTTTAATTTATATGGTTTCATAAGTTGCTTTCATTGTTGTTTTGGAACCAAGTGAAGGATACACAAACTCCACACACAGGAGTTGTATCAAAAGTATATGTCAATATATGTGAAGTGAGAATCTGGGAACTTCTTCTCTGCTTTCCTTTTCACACAACAGTAAACCCTGATGGAATTCTGATCCCACAATCATATGGCATCACCTCTTTATATATATTTTCTCTTTGCAAAGTAGACAAAAGACAGGATGAAATCCAGAACACTATGCTAAACACATGTCAGATTTTTCAGTCATTTCACATTTGGACTTTGAAGCATTCAAATTAATTCCATTGTTTTAAATGAGCCTTCCACTAAAACTCATAAATCTTTCTAATCTTGGATGTAAAGTCGATGCAGTCATTTTACCAATCAGTTCACAGTTTATAGTCTCTCCTTCTTCAGGTCCTATGGTAGCACATTTTAAAAGGCTTATATATCTACAATTCATAATATGCAAAGATATGCTGGGGTTTTCTATGGGATGCTAATAAAAATAATTTTTGTTATGATGCATATTTGAAAGAGATACCCCAATGTTCCATATT